TAATGGAAACAGTTCTGTTTACTTGCAGGAAGCAAGGCTTCTTGCTTGAAAAGACTAATCAATTCTTTCGGTTGCTAGAGAATTTAATTGAAGACAACATCCAGAGGAGAAAATACTGTTCGGCTAGCTGATTCTCTTGCCATTCTGTCATATTAATTGGGATTGTCCTAATATTTTCGTTGTTGAATTCACTTGACAGAATCACTAAATTACATTAAAGTTGTTTAAGCATGAATTCGGTGAGAGGCAATCTTTTTAAATTTGAGCAATATGTAGAAAGCATGAAACTGATATATTAGAAGGATAACTTCACAATTCTTTAACAATGCAATATAGCATCTACTTCCATCTACCAGTGAGGTGTGACCCTCACCTCACGCTCATATCCGTAATATGGGTACTTTGTTTTGAAGCAAATATTTACTCTGAAGCTGACATGGTATGTTTACTAACCATTTTCTACTATATTTTCTTTTCTCCTGTGAGGAGAGGGGTGGTAGTTTTACTTCTTTTGGACATGCCCAATTGTATAATTAACAGCAATAGATTAGTAAGGAATGCCGTTGCCAGAATGCAAAGAAAAAAACAATATTGAGGGAAAAAAGCCTCTATAACCTGCACACTACACCATTCCATCACTCTGTTAGGCACTGGTTCTGGAACCGTAAACTTTCCCAGTGGGGCTGCCATATGCTGAAACTCTAACTAAGGACAACTGGACAATGTCCTTCAATTGACTAACATCCAGGTGTGTTGTGCTCTGTGGCTTACTTTCCACCTACACACTCAAAAGAGAAACTTGGGAGTCACAGAAAAGTCTCCTTGCGCTTTTAACATCAAGTCCTATAGCATTTATCTCTGACAGAGTTTTGAAACATCCTTGCATTATTTTGTTTGACTTCCAAGCCGTGTTGTGTCACATAGAGGCTGCGCCACCAGCCTTCACAATGCTGTTCCTCGCTTCTTCACACTGCCATTAAGTGACCTACTTAACATTTACACCTGCACTTTAGCACCGTTTTGAAACTCCATGACTAAACCCCATATAGTGCCTATGAGTATAATCTAGGCTCTCCAGCATGGCTTACAGTGACCTCCGTCATCTGATGCCCACTTACCACTACCTCCTGCCTTCATTCTATAGCTCCCCTACCAAGCACTTCGCTCAGCACCTGAACATACACCAGCATCTGGCTTGACTTCTTGCTTCCTCCATATTCTCCAGCCTCTTGAAAATGCCAGTGTTCCTGCTGCCCAGCGGCCTGAACTCCACTGCGGAAAACCAGATGCCTCTGCCACTGTGGTTCCCCAAAGATCTCATCTCTCCATGTCACAGAGCTCACAATTCCAAGATTGATGGAACGCTAAGTGACGTGGATGATCTGGGGCTGAGAGAAGCCTGGGAAATGTCATTTTATCTTTTCAGCCTTTACACTACATGCAGTCAAATTAGAAGACGGAGGGTGTTGTATGAGCTACCTTATAATATCTGCCACACCTTCAAATATTTAACTGAAAGAATGAGCTTCTTTTTTTTTTTTGAGCCAATAAAATCAACCTATTAACAGCTTACCACTGTTTTCTTTGGAACCTTCCGTGTTAGGAATAATAACTGCAGTTTACTTTAAAGTTTTTTTTGCCATGTCACATTGTTGGCTTCACGGGAACCTAAACCTCGTCCTTACCCACTTTCTTATCCCTTATCTATCACCACTGCATCCACAGGATGCGGAAATGATGATGACGACAGGTGCAGTGCAAGGAAACAACCGGATCCCAAATGGGCATCATGTCTTTTCGGGTTCCAGTGCTTTAGGAGTCTTGCTAGATGAGTGTCACTCCCTCTCAGCCCCTTCTCATGCCCTGGGGCGTGATTTCAGCTCCTCTGTGAAACTGAGGGAAGTCAACTTTCGGGATTCAGGCACTTGGGAGATCCATTCGCTCCTCCCTCAAATCCTGTGGTTAAATGGCACCCGGCTGTGTGTGCTCTCGAGTGGATTCTTGGCTCCTTAAGCTTGGAAAGTTGGAGGAGTTGAGGATGGCAGTAAAACTTAGAAAGGAACACTGCCTCCTCTCCAAATTTCTGATTTTCGGGACACTTTCCCAGCACTCATTTTTTTTTTCTCAGTATTACATGGATAAGTGACAGAAGTCTTGCAAAGAAAGGGAGGTCACTGAGACTTTCTGTTCGTTTAAGATAACAGAGTCTTCTACATGGCCTTGGGTGTGCGTGGGAGGAAAACCACAAGACAATAAAGACTGCTATGGTCAGGACTGGCTTTCCGCACACAGATTTTTTTTTCTTTGTAAAAGATGATTAGAACCACTGTAGGTGGTTGGACAAGGATGTGACTCTTAGTGGTCAGGATTCTGCTCCTTTGGTCAAATGGTAGTATTGATTGCTATTAACATGCTTCATATATATATATGAATTCTTAGCCCAGATGTCTTTTGAAATGCATGAAAGTGGGGGAAAATGTGACAAACTAGCCAAAAGAAAATAGCTTCAATTTGTCAGTAGGCACTAGAAAGTGTATCTGCACTGGTCATTTATACACAGGGAACTCTTAGGAAGTTGAGGGGTTATAATACCAGAATTACTCTTAAAATGTGCCTTTCTATAAATCACACTCAAGTGCTTGTGGACTCAAATAGCAGTTATTGCCTGTGGACTTCATTTGGTAATTAATCATACAAAATCTTCTGATGCATTTTGTTGTTGTCGTGAATTTTTACTTAAATATCTTATTGATGTTTAAGTTTTCACCTGTTTCTCCCGCTTATCTTTCTTACCAGATTGCAATTCTCTCAGAACAGGGACAGAGGCTTTATTTTATTTTATTTTTTTTGGTATCCCCATACTGCCTGGCCCAATTCTTTGGAATTGGGTAAGAACTCAGTAAGTATTTACCAATGAGTCTCTAATACAGTGTATATTGCTTCCACGCTATTAGATTGAATCATAATGTGGCAGAAAATCTCATATTTCCCAGGGTGCCTTTAAGATTCTAGTCCTGATTTCATCTTTCACTTCAGCTTCTTTAATTTCCCAACAAGATAACAAGTGCCTTGAGATTTTTATGTGCTTTGAAACATTGGAATATTACAAACCAAACTGTTACTACTGGCTATTTCTGATTGGAGTGTACACGGATAGCTTTAATTGTTTTATAATTCTCTACATTTCCTAAAATTAATACATATCAATTCTGAAATTATAAAACATACTTTGTATTAATTTTTAAATAAATAAATGATCATTATGGCTGTTCTAGTTGTTTTACAAAAGGATCAATCAACTTAGTCTCCATCCTTAATATGCATTAGATTCATTGTTTTACGTATCTTTACACTTGTCTTTTCTATAGTCTTTTTTTATTGAAGTGTAGTCTTTTTGATTATGTTCCTTTTAGGGTGGACACAGAATTGGGCATGTTATGTAACAGACCACTTGGCCTCTCTTGACGTTAGCAAACCAATCAGATTTGGCTCATTTTTTACCTCACTGAAAATATTTACCAAATTCTCTTCACTATTTTGGTAAGGATTATATATGAATGCAAATTAATTATATAAAATCCCTGATCTAAATAGTCGTAGTATTGTTCTATGGATATAAAAATACAAAAATGACTGATTTAATAATTTTTATTCATTCTAGTCCCACAAAAATAAAATTGTTTCTAGAATAGTAAGGGGAACATGATCTTCACAAACTTCCTTCCATAAATCTTTGTACAAGTTGTACAAGAAATTAATTTTTAATGTTCCCTGAATTAGAAATAGTGAAAGATGGGCAGAAGATGGCATCTCTAGCCTTGAGGAGCTTATAATCTTTTACAGACAAGATACATCCGTGAAATATTTGGAATGTGTCATGCATGTATGTGGTGTAAGTTTATATTACCAGGATAGACTATACAGGGTAAGAACATTTAAGAAGAGAAATCACAGAAGAGAGAGAAAAGCCAGGAACAGAGATTTCTTTAAAAAGACAGGACAAATTTATCGCTTAAGGCTTAACTGGTTAGAGAGGGGACAGGCAGACCAAAATCCAGGCCAGCAAATACACCATTATTTCACCAAATTCTATCGATTCTTTTCTAGTACTCTCCCTTCTCTCTTCATTTTTTTTCCACTTTAATGATGACTTACCTCTGACTTTATTAAAAAGATTCTGAATCATTTCTATCAATAGAAAAATGCTTACAATATTTTCTTTCCATCTCAACATATTTTTTAAAAATTTACATAATCTTTCTGTAATCTCAGTGGTCTTAAAAGAGCTGTTTCCCTTTCCCAGTGTTAACATCTAAAAGGCACTTCAAATCCCCATTTCCCAGTGTTTTATTCTTCAGAAATGTAACCTTCTCTCCATGTCTCTAGCTGTTCGTCATCTCTTCTTTCCCTGAGTTTCTCTAGTACTTGTGTTCTTCTCTATGATAACACTAGTGACATTCCTCCATGTGTTTACACACACACACACACACACACACACACACACACACACACACACATATCTTACTTTCTCTGCTAGAATGTTGGTTCCTTTAGGATCAGTGCTATATTTAATTTGTCCTTTTAATCTCAATAATTTTGCACATGGTATCTACTAAGTAAATATTTTGTTAAGTAAATGAAAAGCTGTGCACTTGCTTTTGTTGTTTGTGGAACGCTTGTTTCTTGGCAATTTACACAACTTTCCATCTACAGCTTTTTCTCTTACACGTGGGGAAACTGAGAGAAAGAACAGTTGTGTAATTCATTTAAGAAGCAGCAGCTAGTAAGTGACCATACCAGAATTCAAGTTCATATTTGTCCCCTTAATCTATAGCCATTTAAAGTGATCTTGAGAAAAAAAGAACAACGCTTGAGACATTATACTTCCTGATTTCAAGATATACAACTAAGCTACAGTCATTAAAGCTGTATGATGTTGGCATAAGGACAGACATAATAGAGCAATAGAATAGAACACACAGGCCAGAAATAAATTCACGTGTAGACAGTCGGGTGATCTTCAACAAGGGTGCAGACTGATTTAAACCACTGTGATCAAGTCTTTCTTCTTCTCCAGATCTTTGTTACAACCCTCTTTGTTCACTGACTCTGCCTGAAAAAAATTCTTTCCTAACATTTAGACACACACTAAATGTCTGTCTAAAGAGAATGGTGATGGCTAGGAAGGGGTGAGTGATTAAGCTGGAAAGGTTTCTCTTTGTCTAGTTGGGCAAGGAAATAGTCTGTGGTTATGTCAGTACGTTACATAACATCACTCTAGGAACAGCAAGGATAATGGTGAAACACCCAAGAAGTGTTTTAAACTGTGAACATGGGAAAATGGAGCTAGCAAGAAAGAAGGAACCACACTGACGTTTGCTGAGCTCTGCAGATATGCTGGTGTGCTTGAGACCCAAACTAAGTTAACAAGGGATGCCAGTTGACCGGGGCATCAATTCCTAAGAAGCACCAAGTACCACTGAAACAAATACAAAGTGATACCAAGTTGTACACCACATGTAACTCCTTACTGTTGATATGTATTCTTTTCTTCCTGCAGTTCATAGTGCCCTTAAGAATAACTTTAAAAAAGAAACAAAAAATGTTTCTGATTGCCTGTATATTTTACTATATAGTTGTTGAGCCAATACTTAAAAGTCTGAAGGAGCTCTAAATTACCTCCCTGCCTGAAGTTCTCACATCCCTCTTCAGCCCTCTTTGAAATTTTTTTTTTTCAGTCCTGAAATAAATGGATTAATTTTGGTTCAGGCAGCTGGGGAATAAGGACAGAGGTCCTGCTATTAAACAAGTAATGATAAAATCAACAGCAAGGTTTTGGG